TATATATATATAATTACATACATGCACAGACCTGAGGCATCCCGGATTCCAATCTCTTCAAATGTCCCTTACCTCTTACAACAGGGGTGCAGTAATGAATCCATGAATGCATGAAGCCTGGCAGGTGGTCATGTGAGCACCCGTCCAGCTTCCTTTTTGGATGGGAAGCCGCAGCCACGCTCCCTCACAGCATCCCAGGCACTGAGGACTGTGGCCTCTTATGTGAGGAATGTAAGTGGCAAGTGGTGCTGCACTCTGTATTGCTGAGCTGGTCACTGAGAGATCTTTGTGATCTCTCCACTGGCTCAGTGACTAAAAATAAGGCGCCCGCCGTTGCGGTTTCGGTGTTGCTCTCAAGGTGATTAGGGTGTGCCCAGGCACACCCGGAACACCCAATGCGCATGCCTATGGTTATCACCAAATACAACCCAACATTATGTATGTGCTGTGACTATTGCCACGTTTCCTCTCACACATCTAGTTGCTCAGAATAGCGTGGTGTTTGTCGAGTCTTTGTCGTCATAAGTTTAATTTAGGTTGTACAATATATTCCGCTGTCAAACTGTGACTGGGACTGTTAACATCACACAATCCTAACTAGCTTTTTTTTCTCTTACCTACAGTACGTCTGTTTCAGGGACTTGGCATTTCACTTTATGATAACTGTTTTTACCATTAAGTTTCCTCCCCATGCTTATTTGTTCTGTTCTTCACGCTCAGAGAACCTTTCCCTTTCTACATGGTCCATAATCCTTAAACTTTGCTTTCACTAAAACTGGCTGTCCATACATATTAGGTTAGCCTGGGTGCTGATGGTGCCATGGTGCATGCCACGTGCTGCTGTCATCCTGGCACTAATACTAATAATATCTCTAATCACTGAGGGTTACATGTAGCCCAGTAAAAAGCACACACGTATCATTTTTGTACACAACAATGAATTACTAACATATATTTACTTCCTACCATTTTTAAGTCATTTTTCCCTGTTTTTATATCTTTTAGTGTTGAAACTGTCCCCATGAAAAAGTAAGCTTTTTTTTTGCTATTTTCATGTCTTTTTTTTTAAGTTTTACTTTTTATAACCTTACCAGAAAGGCTATTTGTCTTTTGTAATATTTTTAATGTGTGGATCTTTGCTTGTCAATGTAAATAATACTAGGCGCGTTACTTTTCCAACAGAATGCACACTATCATTGCAGATTCATTATTAGTTTTCATTCCAATTTTTTTCTTCTTTTTTTTGTAAGTAAACTTTAAAACACTTATTGCATGCCCCACTTTAATCTTCAAACTGAAACACAATAGTTCTGAACATAAAATATATCATATATTTTTTATTGTTTTAATTTTCCCCATTAGGTTTTTTTTTCTTTTTCTACATTCACATTTACTATATTTATTTTTCTCATGCAATTGTTTTGTTACAGTCTGGAAAATGGTAATAATGGTTATCATAATGAGTATTTGTATGGTATACGCAATCCTATTATGACAAGGTAAAATTTATGATAGAGTGCATGAGTGCATGCTGTTCCAGTTTCACCGGAAAGTTATTAAAGCATGCTGTGTTTTATTTATTTATGATTTAATTTTGCATGATGATATAATCCAGAAAAACACAAACAATATTTGTAGATATCATTTATCCTTGCATGAATGGCTTCATTTAGAAAATATGTAATTTTGTTAAAAAAATGTTTTGCAGAAAGCTTCAGTCCTACTTAAAATGTATTGTGTGTGTGTGTGTGTGTGTGTTAGAGAGAGATAGAAGAAGAAATAATCTACATTGCTTTCCAAATTATTAAATAAATGACTGAATAGTCTTGATTGCAGATCTATGCACTATCGTGTATATTTGATTTGGATTTATTACCATTTAATTGTCACAAAATACATAACAATCTCAGAGTGCACATTTATTTTATAATGACAGAAATGACTAATTACATTTTTTAAATTAAAATTTTTATTTAAAAAATGTTTACTTTCTACTTAAATAAACCCTGTCACCAGACCATTTAGTCAACAAAAATTTTCCATGGGTGCATTTAACTGCCGCCATCTTGGAAGTTATGTGAGCAGCCCCAGCAGACTCGAGTGAAACAGTATTGCCTCATAAAGGCTTATGTAGAGGGGTGGAACAGCTGGGCCACCATAGACAGTACTTAGATACTCCCAAAAGAGGAGAGGACTATAATGTGCAAGTAGGGAGAGATCTGTGTTAGGTGATTGACTATTTCGGTTGTATACAAATTTTCTAGATTCATTGCAAGTGAAAAAAAAAAAACATGGAATGAAAAACACTGAAAGTAAGCATTTAAATACTTTTTCTGTGCGTTTACCTTCACTTATTTAAGTTGGTGTCTCTTTAAGTATATAACCTTCCCTGTCACTATTCCAAAAGAAAATATTTTTGGCGCTTCTGGGTTATAGTTGTCACATAAATTGTTTCTCCCATCTCATTTTTGGATTTCCTTCAGTTACCAGTAGCCTCTTGATCATTGAATTTTAGTGTACAGCTCTTTCTAATAGAGCCTGGGCTGTTTCATATTCAGAAGTTGAAATGAGTATGTTGAAAGCTTGGAACGTTTTTTATTAACCCCTTCGTGACTGACGACGTACAGTGTACGTCGCCAGCATCGGGGCTGTTTAAACAGACTCCCGGCGACTTTTGCCGCCGGGAGTCTGTTTAAACTTGTAGAGCCGACTGTCGGCTTTACAACAGAAGCGATCCTGGCGACTTACCTGTCGCCAGATCGCTTCTGCGTCCCGAAGAAGGGGCCGCCCCCCCCCGCCGGACACCCCC